GTTTGTCCAGAAGATACATAATGCTCCAGTACTTCTATAGTTAAACATATTTCTCTATCTGTTCTCCATCTGATGTTACCAGAGGCTTCAGAAAGCCATCTTGGAGATGAAAGACCTCCTAAATTACACCACCAGGAAAATAGCTGTAATGGTGCATATATTTTGCTTCCGAGATGAAAGTCACCTTCTTACACTGAGAAAGGCATAGATATTAAAACACGCAACTACATAAACAAGGTTAAAGAATGTAAAATGTGATTCTTCTGATGGGAAAGGAGTGAGCTGGATCAGGACGGTTTCTACCTTTCTATTTACATTTTTCTAGTTATTTCCAGGTAAGTAGCAAACTATTTTAAGTCTTCTTCAACACACAAGTGAAATTTTAACACACAATACAAGACCATAAAAATTGCCACACCAAGGCTGTCTAATCCTAAAGACTGCCTCTGATAACAGCTAACAATAGATACTTTATGGAAAAATACAAACTTTCATATAATGGACAGTGCTTATGGGAAAATTAGTTCCTATCCTTCGTGGAAAAGACTGATTCTTTTATGCTCTGCTTATACGGGAACCTTAGACTTTATTCCTCTTAACGTTATTTAATATAACAGTGAATATTTTCCATTATCTATTCAAATCCTTCCGCAAATCCTGCTACTATTTTGAAACTATAAATCCTTGGGCAGCCCATACCAGCCATTACGTGATGCTCTGATCCACTAGTCTTCTCTCCCCAAAAACATTTTCCTGCCTTTAATTTTCCCAAAAAAGCATATAATTTATTCCATTTGTTAACTTGAATGCTCTGTGACACATACCATAGGCCATATTTTTTCACTTCCCCATTACACACCATAATCTAGTAGTTTTTCTTCCTTCTTCACTTTCCAGTCTGAACACAGGAGTCTGCCTTGAGCAGAACGTTGGAAGCTGCACCATCACTGGCCGCACACCCAAGCCAGAGGTGGCTGCCATCTCTCCTGCTCGGGGCAGATGAACTGCGGACCTCTGAGCCGTGGGCAGGACGCCCGTGCCCCTCTCTGTCAGCCCCCCGTGCCCACCTCCGACAGGCAGAATCCAGCCCTCCAGCAACGGATGGAGGAATCGCTCCCCTCCCCAAATAAAAGCAAAGCACAGCTGGTCATGCTGTATTCACAATACTGTACTCCACAGACAATGTGACTTTATTCACAAATATGATTTTTACAGAGGTAGAACAAAATACTTTGTATAATCTTTTTTTTTTTTAATCTATATACATATAGAGAATATAATAGAATGACAAGAAAGAAAAGGTTGTAAACAAAACAATATTATGCCATCAAATACAGTACAAACAGCATGCAAGAACAGCTTCAAATGAAATCTTGCTGGTGTAACTTTATTTTATTTCTAATGTGGTAAATGAAGAGTAGTAAAGAGTCATGCTCTAATTGGATTGAGTATGCCACAGCTCTGCAATTTTGTTTTAATTATTTTTTTTTCTTTTACAATAAACCAACAGGATCGCTTTCTTCTCACTGTGGTGGGGAATGCTTTTGTAATGCCCAATGTAACCTTAACAGAAAAATATAATAATCAAATCTACAAAGTGTACTCTCATTTAAAAAGCAAAACCATAGAAACTGTACAGTTTTAAAAAGTGAATTATCTCAATTGCTTCTTAAGAGAATTTTCTAAACAAAGAATAAAATATGCAGAATAAAAATTAGGAGAGCTATTGTTCTGTAACAAAGCTAATCAAATACTTGTTTTCTATTCCGATAAACAGTTTTTTTAATTAATGACGATTCTGGAAATTATGAAGTGGCCTGGGTTTTATTAATGTTCCATTTGATTAATAAAGCATGAACTCCTTACAGGTACTATAGCTGTCACTCCCCTGGGGATGGATGGAGATTGGTTCTGCATGCGTGCTAGAGACAGGAACAAAGTTCAGTCACTGGTGTAGATTTTAACAATATTTTATAATGTTTTAAATGTTTAGCAGCATCTGTAAAAATAATCTTGTTTATTTTGCTGCTGGATTGAGATTTGGATATGGGATTCGCTGCTGAAATTTCTTCTTGGCCCTCACAATTGCCAGAGACTTTCACTGAATGTTACCTGGGCTGCACCAGGTCCCACAGATGATGGTCAGGAGAGCTCACACCTGAAACACGTGAAGCCAACAGCAAACCCCACACTGTTTTCCCTGTGGCTAGGGCTGAATCCCAAGGATCTGGGCTCTGGGGAACAGTGCTGTCCGGCCCCTCCATCCCTCTAAATCCTGGTCCATGTCATGGGAAGGGCGACTGTGCTGTCACTCCTATGAACTATCAACACTGGTGACAACCACCTCTCCATCCCTCATGTCTGCACCCACTGGGACTATGTAAGCTCCCTCTGCTGCAGGCTTTTGACCATCGAGGATGGAAACCGTGAGCATCGGGTTAAATCGCCCTCCTGCAGATCCCCCCTTAAATGTCATTCAAAGATTCAACCACACAGACAGCACCCATGGATTCAATTTGTCTTTATCAAGAACATGAGGATGGTCAATATCAAATGCATGCTGTTTATGGCTACGCATCAGGCACCAGCCCAAGCTTCAATTGCAATCAGTTTACTAAAGATCAAGTAGAATATCTAACAGGGAAGGATGGTGAGTCTCATTCGATCCTGGGCTCTCAGGTGATCCTGGCTTCCAGGAAGAAGCTCACCTCAACCCGCCAGTGAGCACGGGGCAGGTCCCATGTCCAGCGCAAGGCACCGGGAGCAGCCTGAACAACATCCTTCGCCGAATCACAAGGATTAAGTTCACTGCAGTGAAAAGGGTAAAGAAATTCCTGCCCTGCATGAGAAATCCATCTCTGTGGCTTCATCCATGGCTTTGGCATCTTCCCGGGAAATGGATTGTCAAACCCCTCCGGATCGCCCGGGTGCAACTGAAACCTGCGTTTCACTAATAGGCCCTGCAGCAAATTACCAGCCCCAGAAGCAGGGCGTTTATTGAGAGGTGCGAACAGGATGCTACCTGCACAGACAAAATACTCTGCGTGATAGTTGACAGTCAACAGAATAAGTCTGGCACCTCTGCGTGGAAGAACTGTACAAAACACAGCTGAAATAACAGGATTGTCAATGAGATTCAGTGGGAGACACCCTAACTCTCTGAGTAAGACTGCATCTTTCTGTTGTGTAAACTGGTCTACAAGTATGAATAGAACAATACATTCCTGCCCCATTAGCCTTGGGGAAGATTAATGCCCTCTAATCTAGGCTAAATAAACTCCAAAGAATGAAGACCAATATTTAAGTCCTACACTCAGCTGCTTGTGAATTAATAGGGATCACCCTGAAACTGCTATTATGAAATGCAAATATTTGCAAAAGAACAATTAAAAAATATTCCTGAAGTGCAAACAAAAGGCTTGTCAGCCATGTTTGTGGTATGCACAGGGACAGTCAGAAGGCGAACACTAATGAATCCCAGGGCAGAAATCTGTGCTAAAAACCCATTATTCCATTGGTAGCAGGTAATGGCACAGCATCTTGCACTGGGAAATAATTCTACCCAATAATCTGAGGGCTTGGCTTCGGATGCCCTAATTTTGATTCTTTGGACAGTTTATTTGGATATAACTACCTGTATTTTCAGAGAGCTGCAGTACTTGGTTCATAGTAAATCTACTTCAAACAATTGCTGATACTGCTCAAACTGATCTCATCTGCCCTGATCTGCAATTTTGTGTTAGCTAAAGTAATAAAAGAATCCTGTTAAACCTAAATTATCAAATGAAAAAGGCAATTTTCTCATTCATACTCCATTAGTTTTTTTAGTTATTGCTAGGAAAGCTCTAAAATGTTTAGGCCATAAAATAAACATGTGGCTTAATGTACAGTATGTGTACTTAAGAGGATGATGGCATCTGCAGTAACTGCTCTCTACTGCCATAGTAATGGGATGCACAAATGAAGCAACAGCACATACCAAGTAAAGCATACAAATATGTATGGCGAAAAGTAACAAGCCTTCTGCGTTTTTTTTCAGAATAACTCTGTAAATCCTAAAAAGAAGAAATCACCAATACCCACACCTACAACAAAAAATTGCAACATGGTTGATTTCAATAGGTGCCTGTTAACCTCTGTGCCAGCAAAACTGCAATATTGTGTCTTTAACGTTTCACTCATTAGAAGATTATAAAAGCTTCCCCTTCCCAAATAAAATTCAGTGAAAAATTTCCCAGTCTTGAAGTCGTATGATTAGCCTAATATGGCTTCAAGCATACAACACTGTTAAGATTTTGGAAAAAAGCACCCCAAAATTCTCAAATCACGGAGATGTAGGATAATATATGAAAAAGCATCCAAGTATTCACTTTTGAAAATGAAATCAAGAGTCTAGATCACTTAGATACCTTTGATAATTTTACTCTCAGATCCTTCATCCAAACATATCAGAGTACTTTCTATCAACAATTTAAACTCCTTCAGAAGAGTAGCACAACTAGACCTGTGAATTCACGTAAGCAAGACTGCATAATCAAACCATTTACAGACATGTTTTAGCATCACTTTGCAACAGCAGGCATGAGGATTTTGAGAACACAAGAATCTCTGAAATTCAACCTGTGTGCTTCTTCATCCCTAAACGCTTAGTTGAAACAGGTATCATTCAGAACAAGGAGTGAGCAGAGCCTCTGCAGAAAGGTGCAACGTCTGGATCAGACAAACTCAATGAGAATCATAAAATACAGACTGGAGATTTCTCCTTCAGCCAGACTTTGACAGAAATATATTTTCCCGGCTAAAAAGGATGGCACAGCACAGTTTTACAGAGGCAAATGCAAAAATAGAAAGAGGAGAGTCCCATTTTTTTCCTCAGTAATCCCATAAAATCAACAGTCTGTTTCCATAACAGCTCCGGACATTTACCTGACTGCTGGCAGGGCCTTTCCCCATCACCCGAGGTGAGTCTACGCTCTCCTCTTCTGCGCCGTCAGTGGTAGGGACACGGTCAGCGTTGTGCTCATTATCCCCCGGGTTCCCATTAACATGACCAACTTGTTCTCCCCAGTTGCAACAACTGTGCGGGCCTATTTACTTATAATTCAGATTTTCTTCCATTCATGGCACAAAGCTGAAAAGTAAACAACAGTTAAGAAAACATTTGCTTGCCAAAGCCCAGCACGAGGAGGTGCAAGCTCTCTTCGCCAGAGCCTGGACCTGTGTTTACTCACACCCTCAGCACCGGTTCACGCTCTTGCTCGGCATTGCATAGGAACAATCACCATCCTCTTCAGGCCCTCCTCCCTTATTCAGCCTTGTGGAAGTTACAAAATATAACAGAACACTGTTTTCTGAGACTATATTGACTGCACTAATTACCCACAATACTGTATATTTGCTATTAAGAACATGAATGTGTGCTTTCAAAGTGTGACATTCAGGGCTTGGAGGATGTGAAAGGAATCAGATGGATTGTTCTGTCACTTAATCCGAGGCTTTGATGTACTTTTAAAAATTTGTTTAAAACCCGAAAAAACAGAATACACATTTTAACTGTTGAACTTGTACCAGCTAAAGGAGTTTGTAAGGACCCTATCACTATGTGGTTACAACAGAAGATACACAGTTAAGGTCAGGTCACGGTTTCCAAGAACATTCATAGGGACTGAGGATGAGGAAAACGAGGGACGGATCCTGTGGGAACCTTCAGGAGACGGAGCCGCTCACTGGGGAAGCGCCTTGAGTATTGCATTCACTTCCTCTGCAACCGCTGTCAAAGCGAACTCAAACTGCTCCTGCGGAGAGAAAAAACACATACTCTGAATAACAAACCAAAACGCTTCCCAAAAGCCTGGTGCACTGTTCTGCAGCCAAGCGTCCTCAAGACATTGTTAAAAATATGAATATGCAGGATGAACTGTACACTGCAACGGAAAGGAACAAAATGTTCTGGGATTATTGATGCCATATAACATGTTTGACAGCATCTTGCAGCCGGAGTCATTTTAATGGAGAAAAATGTTGGTAGCAGAAACGAAGCGATTGGAACATGATGATGTATTGCAATTGCGTGGTCAAAAGGGTTTGGGAGTAGTTGATCACCGGCCATTTCCTTCTGACACAGAGATAGAAATTCATTAACACAATTGAGATATGAAATAGGTGAGATGCTGCAAAGCAGAGCCTTTGGCTTTTCTCAGGACTGTTTGAAATCAGCCAGAGCAAATATCTCCTCACCTTCTACCTATTATATAAAACAATATCTGCTTTTTGGTTTACCTCTTATTGTTCTTTTTCAGCCTTCCTTTTTAACAGCTTTTCTACACCCACAAATTACCTAGTGATGTTTAGACCACTCCTATTTAAGAAATATTTGGGAAGGCTTTACTCTGCTATTAATTTACTGTCAGCATAAAACCAAAATTACTAACTAGCTTCTGTGGTGGGTTGGCAGAGGAGTGAAGGACACAGCCACAAATGGCCACCTCATCTACGTGCAACCCTCATGCACTCCTGAACTGTGTTGTCCTACAGAAGGACAAAGGAGCTTTACTTCCTCAAGGTTAACAGGTGTTATATTTTCTCTCCAAGTAATTTTTCTCAGAGATTTAGCTTACTGAAATGTCTGACAATTTGGTGTTTCCAACTTTTCAGATTAAAAAAGAAATGTGGGAAGTTTACTCAGAATATAGCCAAATCAAGGACACCAGACAAGGACTGTGCAGCAGTTTCTGGATTTTCTAGAAGTACTCCAGTGGTTTAAGCCAGACAGGGTCACGAGCCTTTGAAGAACCAACTTTGAGAATGGAGGTCTGAGATGCACCCTGCAAAGCATGCCGAAATCACTGCGGGGATACTGTCTGTGTCTCCCCTTAGGAAACTGGTGGTCTGGTAGGTACCTCCAGCCCCACAGTTCGCGCTGCCAGGGGCTGTGCGGGATGGCAGCAGTGGTGGATGGCTGCAGGACACGGCCAGCCCCCAGAGGTGATCACCGGACTAATAGCATTCATTTTCCAGAGTGTTTCACTTTATTGTGGAAATCTGCAGGAAGGATGAAAGAACAAACTACAGATGTGCAACCCATAGTCCAGAAAGGCAGCCGACTTCTATTTCCTGCAATTCAGTGCCAGTCTTTTCTGCCTTGTCTTACCCCACTGCAGAGTCATCTCCCATGTGGAGATGCCTCAGAGAGAAGCAATGATGGGGACAGTTCCTGAGCAGAAAAAGAAGAACAAAACTCAGAATAATTTCTCAGAGACACTGACATTCAAGAATTTTGCTGTCTGCTTGGTGCTGTCAAAGTGGCATCCTTGTACATTTGCTGGACTGCAGCCAATAGCTTTTAATCAGACATCAAATTCACCCTAAAGAGTAGCAGTCACCCTCATTAGGCACAGAAAATGGTGTATATGCCTGCCTATGCCTCCCCGCACTCCCCAAGGTCTCTGCAATTAAACAAAAGACTGGAAATGCTGGTGGCCACCCAGGGGCAGCAGTTATATTTTAGCTGGAGCACACTGAATGCGTGAGAGGAGCTGGAGGGCAGCGGAGGCAGAGAGGACACTCATCTGGATACGCCACACCAGAACAAAACCCAGTGCCTTTACTGGCTCAAAAAGCCTTAGGAAATTTGGGCTGATGCACGAGAAGTATTTGTCTCCAGGAAAAAGAGCCTTGGCAGGAAGAGCTGGCAGCCGTTGGCCCCCATCGATGCAGCACAGTGAGGTGAGAGACCTGCAGAGCAGCCTGGGCAGGGTGGGAGACGCTTGTGCTGGGGCGGGCAGGGGCAAAGCAGGTGCTTCTGGGATGCTGATGCTCAGATGTGAGGGGGACAGCTGGTCGCTGTTGCCGCCAGTCCTCGGAGCACAACAACAGAAGAGGCTGATCTGAGCACGATGGGGTTGACACGATGACACACAGCCAAGTTTCAGAGATGTGCAGATGCCTCTTCCAAGATGTGGGTGTCAGGTTGGAAGAAGAGAAGCTGCCCATGGTAATGAGGCTACCTAATGTGCTCTTCAGCTGAGTACATTACAGTCAAGAAAAGCTCGTAAGACTGCAGACTACCATATTAGTCCCATTGCTGAAAAGAACTTGTATTACTTTAAAATTATTCACTGAGCAAATCTGCCCTTTAACCTTGTTTGTCTGAGACGTGTTCCCCTCCTTGTGAAGAGTTGTCAGGCTGGAGACCATCTGACCTGTGAGAGCCTTTACCCCTCATGGAGGAGTACCCCTTACGTGTGAGCACAGGGCATCGTCGCACCGCCTGAGGGAAAGCGTCTGTCTCACCTGAGGACCCTGGACTGATCAACATGAACTCCAAAGTTCAGATATGGATTTTGGAGACAAGTTCCATGGAGACCACCAGCTAACATTAGGTGTGACTCTAAATTACCGAGGCAAAACAACTTACAAAGCATAATCTTTACAGCCAGAGCTCAAAACCGACTGCGAGACACTGCAGTAAAGCGGACAGCAGCGCAGACACGAGACGAGTGAGGACGTGGTCTTTCTGGGATGGTGCAGCTGAGCTCCTCCTCCTCCCTCCTTCTGCATAATACGCACAGGTGAAATGCAGACTGTGCAGCTTCCATTGATGTGTATCACCACCCCCCAAAAAAAAGCCTTTACACACCTCCCACACCTTTCCATGAGAACAATCACAGTCGAATCAAATTAATTTCAGTAATTGTTAAAGGAGCTCCGGCTGCTCTTTTGTACAGCTACACTGTCATTCCCACACGCTATTTGCATATACAAGATTGACTGGAGATGAACCTAAACATCCAGCTTTGCCTAGAAAACAGAGCCACACAGGTGCCAGTCCATCTATAATGCGGAGGTGACAAGGAAATATTTGGAAAAAAATAATAAGCTATGCTTCATTAAGTCTGTAAATAAAAATTCTCAGGAAAACAGACTATATGCAGCATATATGACACAGTAAGAACCTTAGCTAAATATTACAGATTGCAAGAGGATAGATGCAGAGAGAGAAAAAAAAGAAATATATATTTTTCCCATCACAGAGAAAATGCTTCCTCCTTCATTACTGTTTCCTCTCACATGTGGCACATCAATTCTATTTTATGATTCCCCTGCAAAAAAATAACAAAACCCACAAACCCTCTATTATGCTTCTCAGAAATGCAGAATGTTATGATAATTTCATTACCATTTATTATATACAGTGCTTTTGAATTAAAGATCCCTTCCAGAAGACAAAATGTTGCAAACAAATCTTTCACATGCTTATTGAAAATGTGGAGCGCTGCCTGCTGGAAACACAATAACATTGCTGAAGTAAGTTGGTGTTTATTTTGCCTAGGGATATTCTGTAATTGGCATTTCTAACCTGACTTTTAATCCATTGTTTTAAATTACTCCAAGAGTCTAATATTCCTCATTTGTATTCAGCTGGGAAAGCACAGAGGTTTGTTTAAATCCATCAGAAAAATTCTCTGGGGATTGTGCATTGCTAGCACGTAACCAGATATTTATAATTTGCAAGACATTAGCTTGAATAAGTGATTTGGGTGGTTTTGAGAAAATGACAATGATGGAAGAAGGAGCAAGAGGAGAGATAAGCAATATCCTGAGAAAATTTTTCATCGTGGGGATGAAAACACAGGATACATTTCTTTTCTGGAGCTCTTCCAGATAAATGTTTGGAGAGGAAAACCATGTCTTGAGCGAGATTTTTGTGGGACTCTGATAACTATTTCTGAGCTAACTAATAGAAGTTGTTCGCATAACCTCATTCTTTGATTCTGGAGCTATTATTTTTTTCTTTTGTTGAAGGCAAGAAGCTGTCATTTCTCTGCCCTGAGAGGGAAACAGGAATCTGAGCTCTGTATTTCTACAGAGCTGCCATATATTTTGGATGCATTTGCAGAGTAGCTCAGGACTTGCATCTTCCCTCAGAGTAAACATATGTGACACTGGATACTGTGTGCTATATGCATTTTTTTCCAAGCTGAATAATCAAAGCAGAAGAAAGATTTATGCAAATTTATGTCTTGAAGATTAGTTAGAGTTGCCTGGCTCATCTTTTATTTTTCATGCACTTACTTAATTGGTAAATAATAATTAACGTTCCCCCAACTGTTCTCTAGCCCCACTTCTCCTAGTATTAACGGGAAGATAAAATGATTATGAAGAGATTGAAGAAAGGTTATGAACCAATGATTCCTGCGACACACATTTATTTCACCTTTGCCCCTCAGCAATTTCAGCTCCCTAAATGCTGCAGACTTTCCTATCGGTTCCAGCCCAGCCAAGACAGAGTGCTGTCACATCGCTCTTGTTACTCTCTTCAGGGCTATAATTCTCATTTGATATTTTACAATGTCGTATACAGATTTATTCGGTCTCCATGCCGTGAACAAGCTTCTTTATTGTCATATTTGCAGCTCTCAACTTGCAGCAAATACCCCCAAAAATCATTCCATATGTTACTGAAACTGCTAATAATAGAAAGTTTAATTTCTAATTTAAGGGACTACAATCACACCATCAGCAATCTTTAAAAGTTTTACACTGTGGAAAAACGTCAAAACTGCCATAAATTATAGAGCAAGATGTTCACCTCACCAAAGGGTACAAATATAGTTACCATGCTACATCCATAAAGGACATGGCTTTAGGCACGATGTAAGCTCTTCAGTTCAAAGATACTAAAAATGACTCGATTTCCTACAGAACTGTATTTCCTTTAATTCAAAACTTTTTTTTTTTTTCAGGGAAAAAATCAAATGCAGCAGTTACATTCTCTTTAATGAGTTGAAGCTTTTAAAAAATATTACATGCACAGTTAAGCACAGATAGTCTAAGAAAATAATCCATATTTCAGGATAAAAGCACAAACATTCTTTCAAATGCACATTTTCTTTAGTAGGCTATACACTTCTGTTTTGACTGTCCTTCATATATGGTAATCAAGATAGATGCTGGAGATGTTACAAGAAAGAGCAGTAAACACCAAAGAAAGTAGCCTAGATAAATCTTCAGCATAAATAAACCTCAGTTGGTAGGGAGCCAAACAGAGTAATCAGCAAGCGACCTGCGTTAAATTAGGTCATACCCTCTCTCTTCTGTCATGAAAACAACTACTGTGAAAGACCTTTAATGTATTTAAAATCTCAGGGGATTTATTGACAGTACCTTTGTCTGGACCATGCCTGGTCTCTGGTCCCTCAAGTGCTCCAGGGTAGCAGCAATATCAATCTCTTTAGCACCTGCAACAAACCACAAATTGGGCTGAGTTCAGAGCACAAGATAATCCATGCTGCATCTGTCAATCTCTTGCTATCGGGTTCCCTTTGGGCTAACAGTCCAATTGAAAATTATTACATCCATCTCTCAGCAGACTTGGCAGGCAGCTGCAATTTTTGTGTTCATATAGAAAAATAAGAGGTTGGGGGAGCTTTTATTAACATTAATTCAAGAAAAGCCAGACAAAACCCAAATTCTTAACAATGCCTTTGCACCTAGAGCAGAATATGTTTTGCAGAACCTAAGGGTCTGTCGTGGCAATGCCATCGAGTGCCCCTTTGTCACTTCTAAGAGCATGCACTGAATTAAGGGCCCGAACCACACAAAGATTTGTGCTGTTAAAACAAGATTTAGGTGAACTTTTGTCACCATGCTATGAGATCCAGAAAAAACCTGTTCGTGGCTTCCTAGTTCAGGACCTGCCAGACCATCTTGCTGTGTGATCACTGGTTCAGCCGGCAAATCTACAGCATTTTCTTTAGGTTATACTTTGGGTCTCTGGACACTGCTGCTTTGTAGTGATCGGCAGCACCAGGATGCAGAAAATAGGCACACAGAGCCCGACTGCTGTGGGGAACGGGCTCCCTTCCACAGTGCAAATGCAGGTACTTTCTTTCCATACACGATCTGTGGAGAGCAAAGCAAGTCCTTGTGCCTCTCATCTTTCTTTTAATAACCCAGAGCCTAGAGAACTGAAAGGGACAGGGAGATGCTTGTTTCCTCCTCAATTTTCTCCAGTTTGAGATGTTTCAAAACCACCCTCCTCATTTTCCTTAAGTGCCTAACAAGCATTGAGAAGAACTTGGGATTTTGGTCCCTCCTGTCAGTCTCTGCATGAACTCCAAGAGTAGAAGCCCAGCTGAACACCCTTCGAGCTGAGCAGTTCAGCTACAGAGTTTGTCTCTCTTGTGTCCGTCCCCTTCTGCATCTTGCATGAACATTACACAATGCCAAAGCATCAGGCAGATGGGCACAGGGTCACCCTGGACCACGTGTCACTTCCCCATCTCTGCTTCCCTATCCCCTTCTGCTCCTGATGTTCACACATTCTTCTAGGGCAGATGTGGGTCTGCAGCCTCTGCAGCTGAGGGACCTGCTGACCTCAGGTCTCCTCTATCTTGTACATGCGCTTTCATCATTAGACAGTTTAGCAAGGACAGGGATCAGCTACATTCTGAAATCTGCTCCATTTTGAACCATACTCAGTGGTGTGCTCTGAAGAAGACCATCGCCCTTCGATGTGTGATGTGACAACTATCTCCCATTGCCTGGCCCTAGGAATCTCCTGGCACAGCCTGTGCCGATTTGGGAATTCCTTCTGCAGGCATTTAAATCTCTCCAACTATTCGCAGGGGTCTTGGTGCCTACCTCGTGGGCCATGCACCTAAAGCATGGCTGCTGCAATAGCTACATTGTACACATTTACATCATATACTTGTTTAGTTCCCAGGACTGGATTCGGAGGATTAGGCCCTATGCTTACCACTCTTCCTACAATTTTTGTAATTTAAGGGCTTAAGTCTAACTGTAATTAGGTTCATGTTAATGTAAACAACATGCACCTCCTCATTTACCCAACTCAACTTTATAATCCAGCACCATCTACTAAAAAATTCAGAGAAGCAACTAATAGTGAAATATTTAGTTTGGTTTTCTTTGATAAAAGATACAAGAAGATGTTCAAAAATAACACCAGCTCTACAAGAATAACTGATTTGCAATATGTTCTTCATATCAATGAAAATATGTTCTTCAGCTGTATCAGAAATGGAATGAATTAATTCAGTAAATTAAGTCAGTGACAACTTACAAAAGATATCTGACAGATATTTTTGCTAATTACCGTGGTGTTAGGGCTTTGTGTAGCTTTTGTTTCCTCCACCATCGCTCCCCGCCCCCCCCTCCCATATTGTATAGCAATTTACAGGGATGAGGTTGGAAAAAATAGAAAGTTTTATTTTAAAATAACCCCCCCCCAAACCTCCTTCCAACCGAGCAAAACAACACGTACTCACATGTGCTATAAAGTCTGGTAACAGTGGCAGTAATTACACCTTAAGTCTGCTGCAGGTTTTGCAGCGGCAGTTAACCTGGAAGGCATCAGTAAAGGCACACCCTGTGTGAACCCTAGCACTGGTGCAACACAGTAGCTCATTTCAGGGTTTGGTCTCACACACGCACGTGCAATTCGGTGGGATTTTCCTGTTCCACTATAGCTGTCCATGGGAGCAGAGCTGTGCGAGTACCGCACCCGCTTTACAGCCTTACTTGTGGCCTCATTAGATTACCAAGAATTAAAATGTCCCTGTAGCATCTTGGCTCAACATAAAAGGAGTTATCTCTTTTGAAAATGAAGATATGAGAAGAATTTAGGACACCGACATCCATGGATGAGGTTAACCTTGCCTCTGAGGTGTGCTGCAAGGATGGAACCAGACATCCTCTCAGCGGGGCTGGCAGCTCCAGGGCCACGTGGGCTTCCCCACGGCTGTGAACCTATACGTCCCCCCTCCAGTGAGGGACGGTCTTTATTTGAAAATACTCAAGCCTCGGGACAAAAAGGGAAAAGGTTCATGACTAGACCTAATAGCACTCTTTAATGGCCAGACAGGCTTCTGAGCTTACCTTTGAAAGAGTTAATTCCTCCGTTTCTGTGATGCAGATTGCAGGCACTTACTAGCAAACTGATGCTTGCTTTTTTATCATCATTAACAGAACGACATGCCTAATAGTATGAACAATGCCTGATTATAAAAACCTGATTTAGCAAAACACCAAAGCATATGGTTTCACAGGAACATAAGAATAGTCCTAGTGGGCCAGCGTGCTTCACAGGAAGCTTGTTTTGAAGCGTTTTATCAGTAGAAGTCCCTGAAACATCAGTTTTTACTGATTAGTGTCCCCAGCCCATGGGTTGTGATCAGCACATCACCCACAAGCACTTCTGATGTCCTCAGCATAGGTAATTAAAAGGAAAAGGAGAGCAAAGTATGATTTTACCCAAATCACGTGTCTTGTTGAGAGGCTGGAGGTGTTTTGGTTTGGCCTGGGTAAACTCCAGGTGCCCACTAAAACCGCTTTATCACTCCCCCTCCTCAGCTGGGCAGGGGAGAAGGGAAATATGATGAAAGGCTCGAGGGTCGAGACAAGGACACGGAGAGATCACTCACCAACTACTGTCACGGACAAAACAGAACTTGAGGAGAAAAGGGAGTTTAATTCATCCCAATCAAATCAGAGTAGGATAGTGAGAAATAAAGCCAGATCTTAAAACACCTTCCCCCCACCCTTCCCTTCTTCCCGGGCTCAGCTTCAATCCCGTTTCTCTCCCTCCTCCCCCCGAGCGGCGCAGGGGGATGGGGAATGGGCATTACGGTCAGTTCATCACATGTTGTCTCTGCTGCTCCTTGTCCCTCAGGGGGAGGACTCCTCACACTC